GTGGCATGTACCAATGACATCTCACTAGTCCCAGTGATCAATTTCTGTTCACAATTGATCATAATGATAGGACTAAGAAGCAAAGGGATCACATAAACAAGACTAATGTCTGCAAATACTAGCTGATAGAATCAAAAAGGGAGAGAATGATCCAACATGGGAAGTGAGATACACAGCAGACGCATAGAATGGCAGATGTCTTAAACAGCACTCTGGCCTCATAATCAGCCCTTAAGGCATGCGGATCCGGCTGAAAAGCCCATGAGAGTATTTCAGGCATGGAAAGCCAAGACACTCTGGGGGAAAAAAAAACCTAAATGAAAGATCTCCGTGAGTGAGATCCCAATGGAAAGAATGGGTCATCAAAGAAGGAGGTACCTTTCTCTGAAGGGAGGAGAGAACTTCCACTTTGACCATGACCTTGTCTAAAAATGATCAGAGTCAGTGAACTCAGGGGGCTTCCATAGCCTTGGCAGCTCATGACAAGAGCCTAGGGTGATTACTGATGCCAAAAACAAGAGTTTCAATTTGTTAAGTCAACAACAGGAGTCACTGTGCACTTCTCCTCATGTAGGATCTTTGTCCTTAGTGTGCTGTACATTGAGAGTTAATGCTATAACTAGTACTCAAACAGTATTTTTCACTTTATGTTTCTGTGTGGGAGCAAACTGTGTGTGCTAAACTGATCTTCTGTACATAAAGAGAAACGAAAATGAATCTTGATGTGAATGGAAGGGGAGAGGGAGTGGATAAGGGGAGGGTTGCGGGTTGGAGGGACGTTATGGGGGGAAGCCATTGCGATCAATATTCTGTACTTTGGAAATTTATATTCATTAAATAAAAGTTAAAAAAAAGCCAAAATTAACATTTGGGATTGCATCAAATTGAGAAGTTTCTGTACTGCAAAAGGAACAGTTAGGAAAGTGAAGAGGCAACCGACAGAATGGGAAACAATATTTGCAAACTATGCAACAGATAAAGGGTTGATAACCAGAATCTACAAAGAGATCAAGAAACTCCACAACATCAAAACAAACAACCCACTTAAGAGATGGGCCAAGGACCTCAATAGACACTTTTCAAAAGAGGAAATCCAAATGGCCAACAGACACATGAAAAAATGCTCAAGATCACTAGCAATCAGGGATATGCAAATCAAAACCACAATGAGGTTTCACCTCACCCCGGTTTGAATGACTCACATTCAGAAATCTACCAACAACAGATGCTGGAGAGGATGTGGGGAAAAAGGGACACTAACCCACTGTTGGTGGGAATGCAAACTGGTTAAGCCACTATGGAAGTTAGTCTGGAGAGTCCTCAGAAACCTGAATATAACACTACCATACTACCCAGCCATCCCACTCCTTGGAATTTACCCAAAGGAAATTAAATTGGCAAACAAAAAGTTGTCTGCACATTCATGTTTATTGCAGCTCAATTCACGATAGCTAAGACCTGGAACCAAGCCAAATGCCCATCAACAGTAGACTGGATAAAGAAATTATGGGACATGTACTCTATAGAATACTATACAGCAGTCTCAAACAATGAAATCTGGTCATTTGCAACAAAATGGAGGAATCTGGAACACATCATGCTGAGTGAAATAAGCCAGTGCCAGAGGGACAAATATCATATGTTCTCCCTGATCAGCGACAACTAAGTGAGCACCAAAGGGGAAACCTGTTGAAGTGAAATGGACACTATGAGAAACAGTGACTTGATCAGCCCTTGTCCTGATGGTTGATGTACAATATAATACTTTATCCCTTTTAGTATTTTTTTTCTTCCAGTACTATTTGTTGACCTCTGTAATTAACACACAATTATTCTTAGGTGTTTAAATTTTAACTGAAAAGTGATCCCTGTTAAATATAATAGTGGGAATAAGAGCGGGAGGAGATGTACAATTTGGGACATGCTCAATTGGACTTGCCCCAAATGGTGGAGTTAGAAATGTGCCAGTGGATCCCAATATAATTCCATCTAGGTTGCATGTACCAATGCCATCTCACTAGTCCAAGTGATCAATTTCAGTTCACAACTGATCACACTGATAGGTCTAAGAGTCACAGGGATCACAGAAAGAGGACTAGTGTCTGCTAATACTAACTGATATAATCAAAAGGGAGAGAATGATCCAACATGGGAAGTGGGATACACAGAAGACTCATAGAATGGTAGATGTCCTAAACAGCACTCTTGCCTCAGAATCAGCCCTTAAGGCATTTGGATCTGGCTGAAGAGCCCATGAAAAGTATTTTAGGCATGGAAAGCCAATGCACTCTGGCAAAAACAAAAGAAAATAAAAACAAACAAAACCTAAATGAAAGATCTCTGCAAGTGTGATCCCAGTGGAAAGAACGGGTCATCAAAGGAGGAGGTACCTTTCTCTGAAGGGAGGAGAGAACTTCCTCTTTGGCTATGACCCTGTCTGAATAAGATCGAATTTGGCAAACTCAGAAGGCTTCCATAGCCTTGGCAACTCATGACTAGAGCCTAGGGAGATTACTGACGCCATACACAAGAGTGTCAATTTGCTAAGTCAACAACAGGAGTCACTGTGTACTTGCTCCTCATGTGGGATCTGTCCTTAATGTGTTGTTCAATGTGAAGTAATGCTATAACGAGTACTGAAACAGTATTTTACACTTTGTGTTTCTGTGTGGGTGCAAAGTGATGAAATCTTTACTTAATATATACTGAATTGATCTTCTGTATATAAAGATAATTGAAAATGAATCTTGATGTGAATGGAATGGGAGAGGGAGTGGAAGATGGGAAGGGTGAGAGCGAGAGGGAAGTTATTGGGGGGGGACCATTTTAATCCATAAACTGCACTTTGGAAATTTATATTTACTAAATAAAAGTTAAAAAAAAACACATATTAAGTAGATACTATGAATTGACAAGATTCTAAGTGTTTTAGTATGCTCACGTATTTAATTCTCATAATCATGTCTTAAGATAGATACCATTGTTTTCATCCCCATTTGCAGATAAGGAAGTGAAATCACAGTAAATGAAGGAGTTTGGCTATTCCTACTAGTGTGGAGTATACCTAGGTCTTTAACCATGGCAGGTATTCTCCAGACAGTTCAACTGTTAACATTTGATCATGAATCTGTTCTGTCTTGGATATATCTGTATTGCTTCTTCTGAGATAGTGGAAGGGAATCTTAAATAAACAGACTACAAACAGACTCCAGCTAAAAATATTTAAATTATATGTGGCCTGCAAGCAATCAGTGAGGAGTCTGCATTTCTGCTTATGTTGTTTGCAAGTCAAAACTTACAAAGGCAATTCTAGACAGAGTTATCATTTAAAAACTATCACTACCTGCATTCATCCCATGGGCTGGCAAATCTTTTTTGTGAAAGACCTGATAGTAAAGATGCAGGCACATTCATTCATTTTGCTTATTCTCGCATTTTACGTTTCTGTTTTTCTTTAAACAGCGCTTTGAAAATGGAAGAGCCATTTTTAGTTTGTAACAAAAAAAGGAAACATTGACTCAATTTGGGTGTATTTTGACTATGTCTGGTGTAGACTGTCTGCACATATAGAACCTCCTCTCTGCCTGACCAACCATCTCCTTTTGTGTATGCTGTGAAACATATTGTTTTCAAGAAAAGGTTTACAGTTCTTCATTCACCACTTACTGAACATTCACTGCCTTTATTAGTCAGGGTTCTCCAGAGAAACAGAACCAACGGGATACATATATAAAGAGTTGTATAAGAGGGAATTTGTCATGGGCATCGTCTCATAATCTGCTGACTGCAAGTTGAAGGTCCAGGAAGGTCAGTGGTGTGATTGAATCTAAGTTCAAAGGTCTGAGAACCAAGGGAGGCAATAGTGTAACTCAGTCTGAGGGCAAAGCCTGAGAACCTGGAATTCTGATGTCCTGTAGTAGCAGAAGCTGGATGTTCCAGTTAAGGCTGAGGTTGCAAATTAGCTTTTCTTCTACCTTTCTGTTGTATTTGGACCCTCAGTGGGCTGGTCATTGAGGGCCCTCATTGGTGAGGGTGGATCTTCTTTACTAAGTCTATTGATGGAAATGCTTATCTCTTCTGGAAAAGACTCAAGATATACCCACAAATAATGTTTTACCAGCTATCTGGGCACCCTTACCTCAGTCAAATAGACTCATAAAATTTGTAAACATTTCAAATATCATATAATGGTGAACTCCTGATAAGATAGTGGTTTGAGGCAAAAGTCTCAATAAGATTGAGCTGTACAGAGAGTAGTACGGGGCTTTAAGCGTTCTCAGGCCAAATATTTTTCTGGAATGTTTCTCTCCATGATGATTTAAACCTAGATTTAAAACTGTGGTTCCAAGAAACTGCTGTAACAAATGCACATAACTTCTATTGCATTCAGAGCTGCTGTATGCAGATTTTCTTACCTATACTTTGTTCTCTTCAAGTTTATACATGAATACTATATAAATTTTCTCCCTGCTTTGATTGTTCTAGGCATCTTTGCTGTCACTAAAACAGCCAACATTGAAATCAAGCTTCTCAGCAATAAAGTACAAAGTGGGCTTTTAACAGTTTAATATGATGTATTACTGTATGGTTTTGAGCATTTAATTACAGATAATTGGGGACTGGGAGGAGCAGTTTATCCAATATCAGTGGTGATCTTAATAAGAAGGTTTTGCATAGTAACCGGAAACTTTGATAACAGAGTGGTCTCATAAACATTTTTCTTTTAAAAAGAATTACCCTGTTTTACATGTGGGCAGAGATTTTCTGATCTCTCCTGAAGTTCCTTAATACCAAAAGTGAAATTGCCAGGTATTGAAAGGCAAGGAATTTCCTCTCAGGAATAATGTTTATTCATTTACCAACTATCTTTAACTTACTTGATGAATCTTTGTTAGTAATTATGTATCTCTCGAGTATATACTTTTAGTGAAGAATTTACTCGCATTGTGCATTTTTAAATGATCATCTGTCTTGATTATGTTCTTCTCTTTTCTTTCCAGAAAGTATTTGTATGTTACATCTTCCTTTAAAGGAGTATTTAAAAATGAAGTTAAAAAGGCAGAAGAAGCAGTAAAGATTGGTATGTAATTACCCGTGGCCTACACGTTATTTTTCATCTATTTGGCAAATGTTAATTGTGCACTTATTATGAGATATGAACTACTCCAAGCGTTATAGGAACTACCACAATTAATCCAACATAGTTCCTACTTGTATGGAGCATTGCAAAACGTGCTTCATCTCTGGGTTTGTTTAATTATAATTATAATATTATTATAATCATGATCCTGAACACATTTAGCATTCAGTTGGTGTAGATCAGTCTATATTGCTAAAAATTAGAAACTCTAGTTGTCATAATGCTGTTAGGGACAAGCATGGCATCTACTTTAAGAAGAATTCTCTGCTCATTCATTCATTTTTTGGTGGAAACAAATCTACATTTTCCCAGTCTTCTGGGAGTGAGGATTGGCGTACATCCTTATTTTGTGGTTTTTGAGAGCATTTTCAGTCAACCACAGATTCATGCATGACTTTTGAATTTGTCTCTGTGTATATATATCCTATAAATTGTTATGCATAAGAAAAAAACCAATGGAAAGAAAACTTACAATGTCTAAGAGCTGTGAAAAGAACATAGAGTTTCTTGAGATGAAGATCTGTGTGCCATTTTCACTGGTCATGGCTACATGGACAGAAAGTGTTCACTTAAGGTTGTTTGAGAGAAGTTTACTATCTTGCTTTTGCTTGTAGCCGAACTTGTATTGAAAGAAGCACAAATCAAAGTAAACCAGCTTGACAGAACTTCTTTGTCTTCTGCCAAGGTAAGACATGTAAAGAGTATTCTTAAATGGCAAACAGTGTCATTTGTTTTTTCCTGTGCATACTTGTCTCTTATCATTTACCTTTTAAACTTTTAAACACAGATGGACATAGAAGATTAAGTTGATTTTAACACAGATAAACAAAATAGATGAATGCAGAGAAGGGAGAGGAAACCCAGCAAGTGTGTGGGGGAGGGGTGGGATGGGGAAGGCTGAGACTGAGAGCAAGGATGCATCAGACATGGGGGGAATACAGGGTGCCATTCATGTTACTGGATGCTTATTAATAAATTTGGAATATTAATAAGCCTTGAGGGCTCTTTCCTAATATTCAGAGAAGAATTCTGAATAGTGGCATAAATGAACGAGGCAGCATGACAAGTTTTAAGCTTTTTTTTTCAGGGAGAGAAATGCATAGGAGAGTGAGAGCCTTGTCTAAGAAGGAAAGGGAAATCTGGATTCATACCAAGCACCATGGAGCCAGCCATGTGGAGGCGCATGCAGGCCAGGAGGCATGGGGCAGGTGGCCTGAATGCCACACGCCAGAAAGCCACGGGGGCTGCAAGCAGATCCAGGGCAAAAGGACAAAAGGGCAAAAGGGCTGGGCCCACCACGTCCCAGGCCTTTAATCCACTTCCAAAGAGGAGTGGTTAATTAGCCTGATTGGCAGGTGGGCACACAGGTGTGGCCAGGTAGGGGCACAAGGTCACACTGGGGCATGGTGTAGGCGTGGTTTTTCAGCTCACAAACCTGATCAATTTTATTCTGTATGCCTGCGTACAACAGTGGGAGAAGCATCACAACCAATTTCATCAAAGTGAAACGGAAAGTTAATACTAGAAAAGGCTAAAATAATGAAAATCTAGCAGAAAACTACCAGCCTATAAAATCTTTTTGAAAGTATCTTTTCAAATTATAGCTCCTTGTGGACCCAAATAAATGGGGAAAGCAGGAAGAAGACTAATAAGCAATCTTTCTTTCTATGGCTGGGAATTCTACACCATAATTATGAATATTAATAACAATGCTTCTAGCTTACAAAGCTCTTTTCTTATGAGTTGCTCCACACAGTTCATAAACATTCTCTGTCATCCTTGCGAAATGCCCATGAGTAAGATAAGTTATAAAGAACTATTATTATTAATTATAATCCATGGCAACTAGGAGAAAAAGAATATTACTGTAGGACCTGTATTGTAAGTTTACTAATTTTTTCCAAAAATATAGAACAAACCTTTTCCACCATAGTGAATCACTAAGCAACTTTCATTGTCTTGCATACAAAGGGATAAGTAGGAATAAGCAGAAAAAAATACCCTCTGTCACCATTCATGCATCATCTGTCATGGACTAACTATATGAATCTATTAGTGATTTTTCTTTAAACTTTCTAAGTCTAGTGCTAAGTTTGATAAACAGCTCTCAAATCCAATGATCATGAGTAAGGGATAAAATTAAAGAGAAGCACATGGTAATGCCCCAAACCAGATCTATCCAAACCTTTCTCAAAATTCTCTTACTTTTGTTTTGTTTTGTTTTTGGTAAAGGTAAATCTATCTTATCGATTTTTTGTTTAAGTTTTTAAAAATTTTGTCTTTCAGAAATCAATTCCCTTTCCTTATGTATTTGGGAGTGAAAGAAACTGACTATTTCTATTGGGTCAGGACCTTGCTTTCTTCTTGCCTTAACTTGTTACGTCTCACTGTCCCTTTGCTCTGTGCTCTGAGGGCACCGACAGGATGGTTGGGGAAGTCTTTGACCAGTTTGCTTTGTTGTTCTGATGCATTTTGGTTTCTTTAATGTTGAGAAGAGAGCAAAGCAGAATGTCCTGAACTTTTGACCTCTTAAATTCTTCCAGGCAATAGAATTTGAAATGAAATACTTACCAGTCATTTTCCATTTTCTTTCACTTGAAAGACAATGAAAATAATGTTCAATCAGTGGTATACCCATAAAAAAGAGATGCCTTTCTTTCATATCTGGTGAATTAAACACAATGAAAGTTTATTCTTATTTGTGAAAACTGTGATAAAGAATTGTTTCCTTTCTTCTTGGCTAGAGGGGGCATACTAGAGATAGGGTAGTGAATGAGCCAGTAAATCAAATAATTAAAGGAGTAGATAAGAAAGACAACTGGGTGCTGGTATTGATGCACTGTGAAAGGCAAAAAGCTTAGGAATGAGGTTTCCTATAAAGGGAGAAGTATCCAAGCAGTTTCTTTCGCTTATTAACAAAAGCTTTTAATTGCCTTCTCTTTCTATAGAAGCTTTAGTCATCACATAATTGAGCATTTCCTGTTTTTGCAGACAAAAGCCAAAGCCAGGGTGCACTGAATAACTCACCCACATTTTCAGGTAGTTTATGTCAAAGCCATTATGCCATTGTAAGGAATAAAATTTCTTCCTTCTAAAAAGCAGAGAGGACACCTGAATACGTGCAAAAAAAAAAAAAATGCAGTGGGCTAGCATTCTGTTTACCTTCTAAGCTATTGGAACTTAGTCATTTGTCAACTGCTTGTTGAGTATCTACCATGGCAAAACTGCAGTAGGCAATGTGACCTATCATTGTTAGTCTTGAAGCATTTGGATAATAGGATAATATGAAATTCACCTTTCATCACTTCAGTGGCTTTATGTCCTCCCATAAAACAATGTTCTTTTTTAGGATGAATTACAGAAAGCTTTGGAGGATGTAGAAGCAAAGCAAATGAATCTTACAAAGAAACGAAGGTAAGGCATAAGGTTTTCTGTTTGCAGGAATCCTCTATGATGTTAAAACAAACTCTTATGTCTAAGAAGGAAGATACTGTTGTTACTGTGACAATTTCTCTTTCGCATCTTGTGCTGTTTTGTAATTCTAATCTGAATATGATCAAGGTTCCTCCAGCCAAGATAAGCAATGGAAAATATTTTTGAAGTATATATTTTAATGTGCACAAATACGTCTGCAGTATAGTAAAACTTCTGGAAAAAGAATGAAAAATTAGATCAGCATTTGATTGGATGAAAATACTTAGATGAAGAACTACCCAGGGAATCAGCTGACAATCTCACTGTCTCTCTGTATGCTGTGCCATTCAACTCTAAAGGCTTGATCTCTGTTCTCTTCCTTTGTCTAGTAGCTGAAAATTTAAGATATGAAATAGTGTTCCAGTAAGTGTATCGCTTATAGAGTCAGAATAGAAACAGCAAGTCTGTGTTAACAAAATCACATATTTTCATTTTTTTTCTTTTTGACAGGCAGAGTGAAGAGTGAGAGAGAGACAGAGAGAAAGGGCTTCCTTTTGCAGTTGGTTCACCCTCCAATGGCCGCCGTGGCCGGCGCACTGCGGCCGGTGCACCGCGCTGATCCGATGGCAGGAGCCAGGTGCTTCTCCTGGTCTCCCATGGGGTGCAGGGCCCAAGTACTTGGGCCATCCTCCACTACACTCCCGGGCCACAGCAGAGAGCTGGGCTGGAAGAGGGGCAACCGGGACAGAATCCGGCACCCCGACTGGGACTAGAACCCGGTGTGCCAGCGCCGCTAGGTGGAGGATTAGCCTAGTGAGCCACGGCGCCAGTCATATATTTTCATTTGTAAGGTTGATTTGCTTTCTCTAGCTCAAATGCTAAAATTATTATTATTGTCCAAATAGGATCAGACTTTGAAAACTGCAGTATCTTTGAGAAATTATTTTTAGGGAAGTATGTTAAGGATGTAGCATTTTGTTTGGTCAACCATGCACTATCATATAACCATAGCTCTTCTCAGAACAAATTTGAAATATTAATTATGCATTTATGAAAATAAATTTGAAAAATTTTACTTAACATTTATCAAAGTAATTTAAATAGGTGTCACAGAAATTTTAGTTGACAAAATCCTTTCTAAAGTAATTAGAAAGAAAAACCTTTCTGTTAACTTGTTTATAATTACAGTAAAATATATGAAAAGTGGCCCATGCACAACTTATTAATAATACTGCTAGTTGCTCTGAATTTGTTTTCATAGAAAAATTCTGCTTCAAAAAATCTGAAAACAGTATATCACTCAATATCGCAGAATGATTTTGTCATATCCTAAATTACTTTGTTTTAGGGTCTCTTTTATATAATTGGTACTTTGTATTGTTGAAGATTTGGGATCTTGTTAATGAATTGAGATTTCTTGGAAAAAAGTGTGGCCTCTATGTGTTTAGCTTTATATGTACACACATTTAAAAAACACATACTACTCCAAGTCTGCTTCCTGAGAAAGCCTAATGTGCTATGTGTCCACATAGAAGGGCTAACAGATTGCCCTTGTCTTTTCATGATATAAGCATTTAATCAGTCCAGTGAATTTGTTTTATTGCGTGGTCATGACCTGAAAATCAAAAGTGTGTGGAGTATGAGGAGCCTCAGGGTGAATGCAGGGGAAGAATTTTATTTGGTGCCATTCTTGGTTGGGAAAGGAAAATAACAATTGTTATGGACCTAACCTATTCCAGGTTTATATTTAACATTATCTCTTAGTCCTCATGATATGCTGAGTGACCAGGGAGGAGTCATTTTTGTGTTTCAGGTGAGACAGAAAGGTTTAAGTGGCTCATTCATAGGCACAGTTACTACAAAGACGTTGTGTTTGAAGCAAGAGCTGCCTCTCATACCAAGGCACTTTTCAGAACTCCTGTTACTATCCTTGTTTTTATTGTAGCTTACTGGTTCTCAATTTCTGTTTGTATACTTTTAATAGAAAAGTCACCCAAAACAGTGTAGAATGACAGAGTCAGAAAAACAGGTGCTTATTTTTGGTGTGCTTGTAAACTTGCTATATTAACTTTTATTTACTTTTAGTTTTGGAAAAGTTTACACAGAAAGCTAGAGAGTATGTTTTGGCACATTCCAATTTGTGTAGGGTTTTTGGAGACTTGAGAACATGCTGAAAGTTAGAATCAAGTGTTAGAAATACCTAAAATGTAATACAGCCAAATCATCACTTGTCATTGTATGTTGTGGGTATGTTAACATCTCAAAAAACTCTTGGCATTTTCTAGTTCTTGTAAACTTAAATTGGAGCGTTGTTCTGAAGTAGCAAATGCTTGTATTTGACTGGTATAGTTAGTTTCTTCATATTTATGCATAACATGAGCTTACACAGTGATACTGAGTATATACACTGCTTTTGCAAAGTATCTATATCTTATATATCATTCCTTTTATGTTTACTTTCTGAGTTTAATTATTAACCGTTTTGTAAACTGCATACTTTTATTTAATAATTTTTTTTCTAAATATAACTCTAGAGAACTAAAAAAAAAAAGAACACTCTCCCTGTTCTTTGGAGTGAACATAGAAAACCGAAACCAAGCTGGGATGTTCATTTACAGTAATAACCGTTTGATCAAAATGCATGAGAAAGTGGGTCCACAGTTGAAATTGAAGTCCTTGTAAGTATATTTTTGTTTTCAGATGCACACGTAGGAAGTGGGAGGTTGCATTAAGATTCTGTCTGCAGACTGAGAGGAGTGATCAATCATAATGGGAGCAGACATCATCCTCTGTTCACCTTTCCTGTCAATGACCAGACATTAATCTGGCTAATTTATAATGCCGATGAACCTACAAGCATGCTCTAAGTAAAAAGCATACTTTTTTTAGAAGTTTTTCAAGCTTGATGTCTTACCATTTCCTAATTTAAAAATAATATGAATTTTTAGAAGAGAAAGAAAAGAAAAATCTACAATCTTTTAGGGATATTTGCATCCCTACAGGTACTTGCATGTTACCTGCATGAGCATATGTTATTAAAAATTGTCTGCTCATTTGGAGTATAGAGTAAAACATTCTAGTAATTTCCCAATGGTCGAAAATTCCACAAGCTACTTTCGTCAAACATGTAGCGCCCTGAAGAGGCACCATCAAAAAAGGGCAAAATCAGGCAGGATACCCATGACCAGCAGCATGGATTGGGAGAACATTTATCATCTTGCTCCCTCACTGTGAAGCAACTCATTCATTGTTCATACAACACGTACTTGTTATCATGTGCTACACACTGTCCTGTCCTGAGCTCTGCTGAAAAAATAATCAAGACCCACTGTCTTTTGCTAAGGAATAGATAGTGCAGGGGAAGGGACAAGATTGTAAATGTACTTTGTAAAATATTGTATGAAAACAGGAAGAATGATCTTTTAAAACCTAATTGACTGTGTTGCTTAGAACCTCAGTCCATCTAGAACAGACCTGTTTGCTGTTGTCTTCCAGTGACGTGGCCTCTGCCTGGCTCTTGGACCCCACTTGTGTGCCCATTTGCCACTCTTTCTGCAGTCGCTGTTCCTCACACCTCTTAAGCTCATTCCTGTCTTAAGGCCTTGGCACTTGTGATTCTCTCTGCCTGGAACCTTCTGTACTCAGATCTTACTGCTGGCCCTAGCATACCATTCAGGCATTAACTCTGAATTCCCCTTTACAGGAAACTTTTTCATGACTGTCTAATTAAACTTGGCCCCTGCCATCAGCCACTTCCACATGTCACTTTTCACATATTATAGTACCTGGTATATTTCCCTTATATCATTTATTGCCATCTTAAATTATGTTATGCATTTATCTGTTTATTAATGTAGTGCCTGTCACTTTAGTACAAAAGAAACTTCATGACCAAGAATCTTGTGTTTCTTTTCCATCAATGTATTCCTAGGTCCTGGGGCAGGGCCTTGTGCTGAACAAGAAAGAAAAAGTGAAAGGGAGGAAGGGAGAAAAGGGAGAAAGAAAGCTGTGTTATAGATGAGTGTGGAGGAGTAGAAAACTAAATGGGAGGAAGTCAAGTCAGGTCTCCTGGAAGAAGTGATGCCCCAGTATGGACTCACGGTACGGACTTACAGAATAGTGAAGGGAAGTTAGGGTATTTGAGAAAGGTGAAGAAAGACAACATGGGAAGGGGCCCCAAATTGGGCAGGCATGACTGTGTGCCATGCCAAAGGGCAGTGGGGAGTTCTGATGGGTTAGATACATGGATGCTCCTTCTCCAAGCAGGTCATATCACCAAGCAGGACTAAAAAGTGGGGAAAAATCAAGTTTATCCATTAAGCTGACAGCAGATACCTGTTACCCTCTGGGCAATCCAGTCCTTGTATTCACTTAGTGGATTTCACTGAACGCTCCATGAACCTCTGCAATGATGTAAAGAAATCCAGCCTGACAGATGAAGGCAAAGGGCATTCTGACCAGTGCAAGTAGGAGAATCACGTATTCCCTGATAAAAAGCCCCTGCTTCTCTCCTACCCTGACACACTTTGTAAGGTGGTAAGTTTGGAAAAAGAACAACATTATTTCAGAAACGATGTACTAAAGTGATTTTGTTTTATAGGGCCAAATGCATCTCGGATCACACAGATTTATGATATAAAATATAAGATAGATTATTAAACTTTGATGTGGCTCAGACCAAATGAATGAGTTTGTTTTTGAAAATAAATGATTTCAAATGACAGGATATATTTGACTTTTCTTTTTTCTTTCTCTTTAGACACATTTCACAAAATACATATTTATGTTTATGCATTTTTTTCTTCAGACTTGGTGCAGGTGTGGTTGGAGTTGTTAACATACCTTTGGAGATCATGGAACCATCTCATAATAAACAGGAATTTCTCAATGTCCAAGAATATAATAATCTACTAAAAGTTATGGGACAATACTTGGTCCAGTACTGTAAGGACACTGGGATCAGTGAGTATTCCATTATCATAATATGCCATTTAAAATTATGTATGTAAGTATTCATTTATTTTTGAAAGTAGAAAGATAGGGAGGGGAGGAGGATGAGAAAGAACATAGCAAAGATCAAAAAAGGAGGAAAGGAGTATATTATTATTTAAAGGATATAATTCAGTGAAAGTAACATTTGTAAATATCTCTATCCCAAAGAATATGGTATCCACACTTTTTTTTTTAATCAGCTTCCACATATAAGAGAAAACATGTGGTATTTGTCTTTCTGTATCTGGTTTATTTTGCTCAACATAATGTCCTCCAGTTCTATGTTGTTCCAGATGTAAGCATATCATTTTGTTCATTAGTTCATCATATGCATGTGTAACATTTACTTTATTCATTGATGTAATGGTGGGCAACTAAGTTAATTGCCTAGCTTTGCAGTTGTGGATAGCGCTGCAATAAGTATGAGAATTCAGCTATGTCTTTCATAGCTGAGTTCATTTCCTTTGAATGTATTTCCAGAAGTGGGAATTTGGGTCATATGGTAGATCTATTTTTAGTTTTTTGAGAATTCTCCATACTGGTTTTATTAATTTTAATCCTCAGCACCAGTATTTAAGTGTTCCCTTTTTTCATATTTGCCATCATTCATTATTTTTTTGACTTCTTGGAACTAGTCATTGTAAGTGAAGTAAGGTGATATCTGATTGTGGGTTTTATTTGCATTTTTCTCATGAGTAGTGATACTGAGCATTTTCTCATGTGTTTATTGGCTGTTTGTAATTTTTACATTGAAGAATGTCTATTCATAGGGCAAGTGCTATGGTATTGCAGGTTAGATAACCACTCATATGGGACACCTGGAAGGAGTTCCAGGATCCTGGCTTCAGGCTGGCCCTGGTGTTTGGGTAGTGAACCAGTGAGCAGAAGATTCTCTCCCTCTCTCTCTGTATGTGTGTGTGTCTCCCTCTCTTCCTCTGTCATTGTACCTTTCAGATAAATAAATAAGTGCATACATACATGAAAAAGAAAAATGTCTCTTCAGATTCTGTGCTTGTTTCTCAACTTGGATTGTTTGATTTGTTGCTGAATTTCTAGAGCTCCTTGTATATTCTGAGTATTAATCCCTTATCATATGCATTGTTTGCAAATACTTTCTCCCATTCTACTGGTTGTCTTCACTCTGCTGATTGTTTCTTTTGCTGTGTAGAAGCTTCTCAATTTAGTATAATCACATTTGTCTATTTTTGCCTCTACTTTTGAGGTCTTAGCCAAAAAGTTGTTGCCTGTGCCAGTGTCTTGGGGAATACATGTTTTTATATGTATTTTTTCAGATATGTTTGAAGTAATTAAATTATTCAGCAAAATTTGCTTAAACATGTAGAAAATGTTATTAATCAAGCATATACTCTCTGGTCTATTTTCATTTTTATTTTATTTTAAAGGCAGAGAAACAGAGATCTTGGCATCTGTTGGTTTATTCCCCAAATGCCCGTGGCATCAAGGCTGGGTCAAGCCAAAGCCAGGAGACTGGATTTCAATCTGAGTGGCAGAGATCCAAGTATTTGAGCTCTCATCTACTGCCTTCCAGAGATGTGGAGCTGAGACTCAAACCGGGTACTCTTATATGGATGTGGATCTCTCAAGCAGCATCTTAAATGTTGTACCAAACTGATGTCTCAACTTTCTATTCTAAATACTAGGATGACACTATACAAGAGGACAACATGAAGCATTTGAAATTGTGTGTGTAATTCCCCAGAATTTCCCCATATTATCTTTGTAATTCCTTCCTTGTCTTCCTCATCCTTAGCATAAGGAATTAAGTCCTCAAAAAGAGATAGATACTAAATTTTCTCCATCTAGACCACACTTGGTAGAGTTGTCCTGAGTCCTTTTCGTGGGTGGAGCTCTAGGTTCTTTTGCCGGGTGTGTGGATATCATCACAGCAGTTGTACTCAACAACTCTAGGCTGACACTTGGCAGCCTCCCCTACCACTCTGTATAATTCCCTATTCCTACCCTACTTGCCTGTTTTCTAAAAATTAGATTTATTTATTAACGAGAGAGAGAGAACACTCCCATCCACTGGTTTATTACCCAAATGCCAGCAGCAAACTGGGAGCTGGGAACTCAGTATACGTCTCCTATGTGAGTGGCAGAAACTCAGTCCCTGAGTCATCACCACTGCCTCCAAGGATCCAGATGAGTAAGAACCAGGAAATAGAGCTTGAATCCAGGTACTCTGATGTGGATACAAGTGACTTAACCAGTGGGCTAAACGCCCACTCACTGTTTTTTTCAGAACATTCTCAACAGATGTGATTATGTTCAAAATTATGTTTGCATTTTTACAATTAATGGTTAATAATATTGTTTTCCTAATTCCATATTTGTCTACCAATTGATTTAGGGCTATATGATACTCTCACACAAAAGTGTTCCCCTTGAAGAAAGATGGAGAATAGAGAAAGGACAGCAAGCACATGTGTTTGCTCGTATTTCTCCCAGCTTCATTCGCAAACTTCATTAACAAATGAAATCAAGTAATCAAGATCAGAATTGATAGTCTCAGTAATTTCTGAGGAGATCGACCTTCAAGGGCTTTGCTCATTAATTCCCTTAGGAATAACCAGTTATGCAATGCTTGACTAATACTCTGAAAGCCAATATTACAGTGCCCATAATTTTAATGAAAAGTATTTGGGAAGATCTTTTTGCCTTATAAATAAAAGATGCAATCTTTGCATTTGCTGTAAATCTGATCTGTTTCTATGGAAAATTGGGCCCTAGTAAAAATCGAATCAGCAAAAAGGGAAGTGGAGAGGTAATGACTTTGTGTCATTTATCAAAACTGCATTTACTTTTGGCATAGTTGATGCTAAGAATCTCAGAAATATGTTTCTTGTCCACAAGTCTGACCTCACATTACTGTCTACTACTCTGTTTTCTGGAGCTTTATGCATCCTTAAAGTAAAATGGAAATATTAATCATCAGCTTTGGGGAGGAAAAAGAGGCAAAATAAAAGATGAGGAGAAACTTTAAATGAAATTTGGGTTTGAACAGAAGCAATTATGTAGGAATGTGTTACTAAACTTTTCCAAAATGGCCAAGAATTGAGCTGATGTGATGAAAGAAACTCTCTCCTACTTGTAAGGTTAACATTTCCCAGCAGAATTCAAATTGTAAGATCTCCATTGGCAAGAAAGCAAAAGATCTTATAGTCTAGTTACCTTTAATCCCTTTTATCTCACTACTGTTTAAGCCAGGTGAAGGCATCCTATAACAGGAAACTGCCAACTCCTGCGGAGACGATAAATCTCTGCACAACTCTATTTGACAATATGTCTTCATATTAAGTCCAAATCTGTTTCTCATGTGTTCGTCCTTTCACTCAACTGTGCTAGGACTAACAAATCAGACACATTCCACTCTGTCTCTGGACTTGCATTCTAGCAGGGTGAGATGGGCTAATTTTTGCCTCTGCTCAAATTTATATGCTGAAATCCTCATGCCCAGGATCATGGTATTAGGACTTTTGGGAGATGATTATGTCATAGCTACGGAGGCCTGGTGATTAGAATGAGCTCCCCAGTAAAAGAGGCCTGGGAGAGTCTCCACCGCAGCCACAGCGTGTCTTTAGAGTGAGAAAGCACCACATGTAAACAGGGAAGTGGGCTCTTAACAGACTGCCAGCACTTTGATCTTCCGGACTGCCCAGCCTCCAGAACTGTGGGAAATAAATTTCTCTTTTTTTCAAGCCACCCAGTCTATGGTATTTTGTTGTAGCAACCTGAATGGGCTAAGACACAGGGTTAGCACTACTTAACGCTCAGAAATATGATTGGTGTGGCCAACGGAGAAGAGCAAAAGCTTCAGAAGCCAGTGGTGGGGAGCCTGGAGTCCGGAGGCCAGGAAGGCCTCTGAGGAAGCGATATTTCCTGAAGGAAGAGGAGGAGTTAGTCACGCCAACCGAATTCTCTCTCAGGACCATGGAGAATAGGCTTAAAGCCTGTGCAAATGACAGGCCTCCAGAGAGTTGAAGACAAGCTTATTTCTCATTTGAGCCTTATTTTATCCTATCACTTACGTGTTCTATTTCTACTCTGTATTCAATGTGATGTCAAATATGCTCACTATTCTAGCACTATGCTTTTATAGTATATCACCTACAAAGTACTCCAGATGGAACCTAAGCAGTCACGACTGAAATAGAACCATCGTCTTGCCTCTGAGTTGTAAATCTGCTGCTGTCCAATAATGTATTAACTCTTCCTTGAGCAGATTATTGACCGTTGGTGTCTTTCACAGCAATTAAACTGTTAACAAAACTGCTAATGTGTAATCTTGTGAAGCTATACCTCTCCTCCTTATGGTTTTCCAGTAAGTGTTTTTAGCCCCTAATGTAAAATCATACATTTATTCCAGTTGCATTTTATCACATTATTAAATACATTCTTTCAAGCTGTCAGGACCTTTTTTTTTTTTAATTGAATGCTGAATTCTAACTAGTGTATTATCTTTCCAACTTATGTAAAGTCTGGCTTCATATAAATCCTTTTGCATATGACAGGAAAATCAAGTATTGTAGCCATCCAATGATGATTTCCACTGATGAAATGGCTACATAGGTGGATATGACACTGGTTGAGAACAGTTAACCACGTATACATTTTCCTGAGTTTGTTATTATCTAACTCATATTTGTTTCCCAGTTTGTATATTTTAAAAGTGTCAGGGTGGAGCTGGTGGTGTAGTATAATGGGTAAAGACACCACCTGTGATGCTGGCATTCCATATGGGTGCCAGTTCATATACCAGCTGCCCCACTTCCAGTCCAGCTCCCTGCTAGTGGCCTGGGAAAAGCAACAGAAGACAGTCCAAATGTTTAGCCCCTGACACCTCACTGGGAGACCTAAAGAAGCTCCTAGCTCCTGGCTCCAGCCTGGCCCAGCCCTAGGTGTTATGGCCATCTGGAGAGTGAGCCAACAGAAGGAAGATCTCTTTCTCT